GGAATGGAAAAGAAGAGATGGATTCAGGGTAACAACAAAAATAGGAACTACTTAGATTTGGTTAAGTGACTGGGTAGAGGAACAAAGAGGGGGAAAATCAAATGACTCCAGGGTCAGAGATAATGGAAATTATGGCTGATGGGTAAGAAAATGTTGCAGAGTAAAGCTCTTTAATGAATGAAGACGAGTCTAAAATGACAGAAGTGTATCTAAGCACTGCCAGGAATATGTATTTACTGACTGCTATGAAATGTCCATGACTAGATTTTTGGTCAGACATGCATTTTAATGTTTGTTGCCAAGCTCTACTATTTGTTGGATGAATTAATTTAGAGTTAAGGGAACAAAAAGAACAAAGATCTGAAAACACTGGAAATGACTAGCAAAAATTGGGCAATGAGAAATGACAACCTTATGTGACCCCCTCAGGTGGGGGTTTGAAAATCTATCACTTTTTTTTAAAAAGCATTTCATTTCCTTATTCATGATATAGTGTACGCTCACTTGACAGTAAGAGAGATGAGCACCTTCTACATGGTCTGGCCATGCCACAAGCCCCTTCTCCAGTTCTCCATGGGAGCTAGTGCGCATGCCAGGCTTTTTGAGGCCAACTGGGTCAGGGATTCAAACCACAACTGCCATGTATTCAATAGAATCTGGCTTCTCTCAAGCAGTGCATTACCACGCTTCATGCTCTACCACTTTCTTTTATTAAAAAATTTGCTAGAGGGTACAGACACTGGAGACAGAAGCAGAGAAAGAGAGAAAGCACCCCGCCCCCATTGGGGATAGTCACTCTACAATCCCCTCTCATTTCTCCTTTAGGAATTTTGGGTATACATGCCCATACACGCCCAGCATGTTCTTCAAGCTGCCAGGTCCAGGATTTGAACATCATAGTTGGCCATGTGCGATCCAGCCACCTTAACCACTAAACCACTGACTGGCCCATCTACCTCCCCCCTTTTTTAAGAGAGGTTTTCGTGGGGCTAACAGATAGTGTGGAGTTGAAGCACTGGCCTCTCACATGGCTGACTATGGTTTGAGTCCTGGACCCAGTGGCTTGTTTTCTCACTCCTCCTCCATCAAATTAAAATAATAATAATGAATAAAATTAAACAAATATTTAAAAAAGAGAGGGAGATTTTTGCTATAGGGCACGTGCCCTTGCTAGAGACAGAAAGTGAGAAACCACTCCCCAAGGGGGATGGTCATGCACCAATCCCTTCTCCTCCAATTCTCCTCTCGGGATCCGGGACATGCATGCACACATGCCCAACATGAGTTTCACCCATTAAGTCCAGCCCTCGACCTGTGGCGGCCTACCCAGTGAAGTAACCATTATGCTATCTACTGGTCCCTACCATATTTTTAAAAAATGAGATACAGTGGTATGTTGGTTAAGATGCTCACATAGCCAACCATGGTTTGAGTCCTAGACCCAATGGCCTGAAAATCATGCTGGGTCTGTGTGCGTATATGCTCCAAATCCTGAGAGAATGGAGAAGGGATTACAGTGTGGCCATCCCTCTGGGGGTGGGGGGGATGATTTCTCACTTTCTCTGTCTTTCTATGGCAAGCACATGTGCCCTATTACAAAAACCTAAAAAAAAAAGTTAGAGATAGAGAGTGTATTTCCATTTGAACTGAAGGTCTGCCATTTTCATGTGAGGATTTTTAAATATCTCTATTTACAAATAAATAATTTACAGTATAAATTATTACAAATGTAAACTATCATATTTATAATTTATAAGTATATATTTAAATATTTTTAACATTTTGAGCAGTCCCACACAAATGAGTTAAGTACCTTGGCATCAATTTTAAAACAATCTTTTGAAAAAACTGTTCACGGGCCAGCTGGTGGCTGGGTGGTTGTAAGTGGCTGGATCCTACATGAGCAACAGCAACATTCAAGTCCTGGACCCAGCATCTTGAAAACCATGCCAGGCACATGTGTGCCTAAAATCCCAAGAGGGAAAAATGGAATAGAGATTGTGGTGTGACCATCCTCCATGGTAAGTATTTTTTCTTTCTTTCCTTCTTCTACATACCCCTGGCAAACTAAAACAAAAACAAACAAAAACTGTTCAGGGCCACCTCGTTGGCCTGGTGGTTAAGGCAATTGGATCACACATGGCTAGTCCTATAGCTGCAGTCCTGGACCCAGGAGCTTAAGAAACACATAGAAAAAGAAGAGAAGGGACTAAGGCATGAGCATCTCCCATGGGGTAATTGCTTTATTCTGTCTGTCTGTCTCTTTCTCTGGCAAGTACATGTATATCTGGGGAGAAGAGACTATTCAAATATTGTAAGTGATCCTAGATATGAGTAAAAAACAAGCTACTTGAAAGTCAACAATATTTTTTTTGACTGAAGATGGTGCCCTTGCATCCAAAGGAAGAAAATTCACTAAAGGTATTTTGCTATGCCAGATAATTATTTATTTTTTTAAATTATTCATTCAATTTTATTTATTCATCCATTCATTTTAATTTGACCAGACTCTCTCTCTCTCTCCCTCTCTCCCTCTCTCTCTCTCTCTCTCACACACAGAGGGAGAGAGGGGGAGGGAGAGAGAGAGAGAGAGAGAGAGAGAAAAAAACCAAGCCACCAGGTCCAGTACTTGAACTGTAGTCAGCCATGTGGGAGTGTCCAGCGCCTTATCCACCATGCCATCTGCTGGTCCCCAGTCACATAATTATTTTTGTCCCCTAAATGATATGTGTATAAGAAACTGCTCTACTGGGGATTAGCAGCAGATGGTGTAATGGTTACATCACTGGACTCCCCGGTAGTCCACTACAGTTTGAGTCCTGGACGAGGTGGCTTAAAACCCACGCTAGGAACATGTGCATGTGTGCCCTGAGTCCCACTAGGCAAATGGAGGAAGGACTGCAGCATGGCTATCCCTCCTGAGGGGCAATAGCCCTTTCTTGCTTTCTGTCTCTCTGTCTCTCCAGCATGCACACATGCCCTATAGAAAAAAAACTCTCTTAATTAAAACAAAAACAAAAAACTGCTTATTTATAATATGAATTTTTGCATCTTTTAAACAAAGGTAAGCAAGCGTGGTGGAGAGAAGAAAATGAAGTAGAGCAGAGAAAGACAGAGTAAGAGGGTGAGGAGGAAAAGAAGGGGAAAGGTAGGTAGGAGAGGTGTTTCTGACAGTCTCCCCAGGTCCTGATGCTCCTGCCCCAGCCTCCTAGTTAGCCAGTACCCAGCCTGTATCAGGTAGGGCAGGGAAATGCAGCCCCAGCCATGGTGTAGTGGTGTTCTTCTGCTAACACCAATGTAGCTAAGTCTACTTTGGCACTTTTTCTTTCTTTTTTTTTTATTTGGAGAGGGTTTTTCTTGTTGGGCGCGTGCGCTCGCCAGAAAGACAAGAGACAGAGAGACAGAAAGCAAGAAATCACCCCCCAGAGGGGACGGCCACGCCGCAATCCCTTCTCTTCCATTCTCCTCTTGGGATCTTGGGAACACACGCA